TCTGTAGACCAGGCTGGCCCTAAACTTAGAGATCTGCATGCCTCTGCCTCCCAAGTGCTGGGATTAAAGGCGTGCACCACCACTGCCCAGCTTGAATTCTGGTTTTAAAATGAACAAAGAGCCAGAAAGTGCATCCCAGCACTGGAGAGGCAGAGGTCACCAGTTAAGGGTGCATAGGGAGATCTTTCTCAAAAAATAAACAAGCTAAGAATGTAATAGAATCCTTTCCCTGAAGTAGGACGCTACAAGATTTGAGTTAAGCATGGTTCAGATTTATAATATAAAAAGGAATTTGGGCATAGTCTCTCCTCTGGCAGATGACTAAGTCACACATCACTGTGCTGAATGGAAAGTATTTGGAGCGTGAGCTCTGCTTCCCACAGCAGCCAGCATGGAGGGAAGAGAGGAAGAGAGGAGAACTTGACCAAGATGGTGAAGGACGGACATGATCTGAAAGAGACAGAGAGTCTGATAGGGTGCCATCACAGGAATGCCTTCCCTGGGGAGACACAAATAAACCTGTACCGTTTCTGTACAGAGCATGACGTCAAAACAAAGAAAGATTCCGCCAGAGCCCAACTTAGGGAGAAGAATGAGTTCCTCCAGCCTATTTATTAGGTACAGCCCAGGGGGAGAGACTGGCTAGTCTCGGTAGGCCGTCAGTCTACTGTAGGTGAACAGTCTCAGGCTGCACATAGCCAGGAGGAGGATGCCGGAGTTGCCAGTCTTTGCACACACTGGTCAATCATTCATAAACACGTCGACACTGACTCCTCAGAAAGATTTGCCATCCCTTTTGGGCCTGGCCCGTATGGGCTTTGCAAATTTCCCATGAGTCAATTGGAGTCCTTGACAGGCCATGCTCTTGTCCAAAGCACACATTCGCTCAGGACTTCCTCCACTCCCTGTGGGAACGCCAACAATCAACAAGCCTCATCTTGGGAGTCTCTTGCAAGTCTGATGAAGATGGTGGCTATTATACTTGGAGGAGAGCATTCTACAACAGGTTCAAATGCCTGTAATTACAGCACTCAGGAGGGAAAGGCAAGAAGATCATGAGTTCAAGGCCAGCCTCTGCTACATAATGAATCTGAAGCCAACCCGAGCTACTGAAGACACTGTCTAAAACTGGGGTCAGGAGGAGGAAGAGTAAAACCTGCTATCTATCCATTCATGAGCTGAGGACAGTCCTCTGGGTATTTCTAGCAGGTTTTATGCAGACAAGTGCAGTAGCCACAGCAGGTAGGAGTTAAGAAAGGAGCAACAAGCCTGGCTGGGCGGTGGTGGTGCACACCTTTAATTCCAGCACTCAGGAGATAGAGGTAGTCAGATCTCTGTGAGTTTAAGGACAGCCTGGGCTACAGAGTGAGTTCCAGGACAGCCAGAGCTGTTACACAGAGAAACTTTGTCTCAACACACACACACACACACACACACACAAAGTAAAGAAAGAGGAGCAGCAGATTCACAGATGGGAAGAATCCAAGCATTGACCCTGCAGGAGCAATCTGTGTAGACTACATACAAGAGGAGGTAATATCTGTGGACTAAGTTGTAGCAAATAGTCCACAGATACTTGCCTAAGAAGCCAGGCTTCCTAGATTCAGACTCCCATAACCTTCCTGTGTTATCCCAAGGACCAGAGTCCCATGAAAAATTTCTCCCCAGTACTGAGGCACTGAAAGCACCACCTGAGGTAGGGTTCAAACAAACTGTAATTTTGCATGGATGAAGTGCACAGACATGCATGCAGGCAAAACACTCATACACATAAAAATAAATAACTTTTGGGGTTGGGCATTTAGCTCAGTGGTAGAGCGCTTGCCTAGCAAGCGCAAGGCCCTGGGTTTGGTCCTCAGCTCCAGAGTAAATAAATAAATAGATAGATAGATAAATAAATAATAACTTTTAAGCTGTAGTTTTGTTCAGGTAGTGGGTCTTACGGTGTCATTATCTGACCTTTTGCAGCCCTCAGCCATCTGTGACCCCTAAGGCAGAAAGACCTAGCTACAGATAGTAGTGGAAAGAGCTGGGGCCTGGAAGTGCTGGAGTGGAGTCATGCCACGTGAAGATCGCAGACACATAGGTGATAAAACCACTTCGTGGGTTCCTGCACATGGAGCCCAAAGCACGCCTAGCCGATGCAGCATGGGACGTGGGCAGAGGGGAGCCTAGCACCTAGCAGGGACTCAGTGGCCCCGAGGCAGACAGGGAAGGCATTTCTTAATCCTGGGAAGACAGGGATTGGTGGCAGCTCCGAGACTAGCGGTGGGATGGGGTGGGACAGGCCAGACACGCTGGGTTATGGCCGGCCCTCTCCCGAGGACAGAGCACTAGCATTTGAGTATGCTGGGGCGATGAGTTGCATGTTGGTTGTGTGAGGCTCTATATTAGCCCAGCACTTAAGGCAGGGATGGGTACACTATAGATTCAGGTGTGGCACTCCATGTGAGTGTAACAGGCAGAGGAGGTGAAAAGGAACAGAATAAATAAGTTACTACTACAAAAAACGGAGGAGCATGAAGGCAACAGATGGCTGGATCCCTGACCCAGCCTATCAGCCTAGACGGGGCAGAGAGCCACACCCCATGTTCTTTCTCTTGGATTGTAGAGGCCTCCATCACTCCACACACTCCCGCCTTGCTCTCTGCGGTGGTCCTCCAAGTTAAGGGTTGCCTGCAGCTGGTGCACATCCCCAACACTTCTTCCCACTGTCACCCTGCCGCCACTCTCAGTCCCCCCAAGACCACCAAGAGACCAAATCTGGTGCAAAAGCAAAGAGTCTTTATACTGTTGTGAGCTAGCCTAGGCCTCTTCATCCATCTGATGCATCAGCGGAGCAGGAGAAACCCTGAGTAGCAATACCTGGGGCAGGGTATTTATAGGGGGTAAGATGGGGGGGGGGTTATTGGGATCTTCAGACTACCTAGGAACAGACTCAGGATTGGTTTATGTGAGTGGCAATCATGTTAGTAACTTTTAATTGGCTAGGGTTAGCTGGAGGTTACTTTTTTTTTGGGGGGGGGGCAGGCCTCAACAAGTCTTAGGCTTTGTCCTTGAGCTGCTGTGGAGCCTGGCTGGCTGGCCTAGCATGTACTGACTGTGGGGGCTGGCTC